AGTAGAGACGGGGTTTCACCATGTTGACCAGGATGGTCTCGATCTCTTGACCTCGTGATCCACCCGCCTCGGCCTCCCAAAGTGCTGGGATTACAGGCTTGAGCCACCGTGCCCGGCCCTTATTTTATTATTATTTTTGAGATAAAGTCTCACTCTATTGCCCAGGCTGGAGTGCAGTGGTGTGATCTCGGCTCACTGCAGCCTCCGCCTCCCAGGTTCAAACGATTCTCCTGCCTCAGCCTCTGAGAAGCTGGGATTACAGGCACCTACCACCACACCTGGCTATATTTTGTATTTTTAGTAGAGGCAGGGTTTTACCATTTTGGCCAGGCTGGTCTCGAGCTCCTGACCTCAGGTGATCCACCTGCCTCAGCTTCCCAAAGTGCTAGGATTATAGGCATGAGCCATTGTGCCCAGCATCCTAATGAGTTTAAGTACTTTAAATTTTTTTATTATAGCTGAGGGTCTCTAAAAAATAATTTTTTCTTGTATACCAGAGTCTTGACTATATTCTCTACATCATGGCTTTGTATGTTTCTTATAGATTTCTCACCATGAGTTTATAATCTGCAATATTAAAAATGTTTCTTTTGTGGCTGCTGAACATGGGAAAGTGTGTATACTCAAGATTCCTATTAGAAAAAAGCTGGGGTTCTCGGTAAAAATGGAGAACAAGTAAGGTTCCATCTGTGTTTCTCATTAGCTCTATGTATAAAATGATTAAGAAAATGCCTATTTAAACAATATGGCATTTATTAACCAGAAAGTTCTAAGAAACATTATTAGGAGATACCTGCCCTCTAGGGTGCTGAAGAAAGACTACCTAAAGCCACTATTAAAAACTATAGGGCTGGGAGCGGTGGCCCATGCCTGTAATCCCAGCACTTTGGGAGGCTGAGGCGGGTGGATCACGAGGTCAAGAGATCGAGACCATCCTGGTCAGCATGGTGAAACCCCGTCTCTACTAAAAATACAAAAAATTAGTTGGGCATGGTGGCGTGTGCCTGTAATCCCAGCTACTGAGGAGGCTGAGGCAGGAGAATTGCCTGAACCCAGGAGGCAGAGGTTGCGGTGAGCCGACATCGCGCCATTGCACTCCAGCCTGGGTAACAAGAGTGAAACTCGATCTCAAAACCAAAACCAAAAACAAACAAACAACTACAAAGCATAGGAGATATCTGCATCTTGAACTTTGCATAAAACTGATGT